TACAGCGGATAAACGAGTTAAACGCTTCTTACTTGGCACTCCATTATCCTATTCTTTCTCCATATGGCGAGGATGGCTACAGGAAGGACATTCCGTTCTCCTGTCTTAAACCGATAACAGAGAGGTCGAGGAAATTTATCAGCCCATTGGAGTTCTTTAAATATCGAATGCACGATCGGGACTGTGAATTTTTGTCAATTCTTTCCGCTCGGAGGTTGTATCAGCAGTTTGTTGTGGACGCATATACAATGGTGGAGGGAGCTCGGCTCAGATACATACGTTTTAATCAAAGAAATTGAGAACTGAATTGTACAGCAGACTTTCCATCGTTGTGTTGCGTGGTGACACAGATCCTGGTTCTCAAGGCAAACGTATCATACTTCCTTCATCGTTTACGAGTGGCGCTAGATAATGGTTCAGAACTATCAGGATGCAATGGCCATTTGTCGTTGGACCCGTTATCCTAACATTTTCATAACCTTCACATGAAATCCCAAGTGGCCCGAAATCAGTCGTTTTCTTGCTGAGAGGAACCTCAACCCAGAGGACCGTCCTGATATTATTTGTCGGGTTTTTAAGACCAAGTTGGATCAGTTGATGAGGGATGTTCATCATAACAAGATGTTTGGGGATGTTAATGCTGGTATTTCTTCAAACTAATTTATAATTTATAACTGATTTCTTCTTAAATTTTATTATACTTTATTGCTATTTATTTAATTTTCTCAAAACTATGTATTTACTGCAGCAATCTACACAATTGAATTCCAGAAACGTGGCCTTCTGCATGTGCATATCTTTCTTTTCCTTGCCAAGGAATTCAAGATAAAGACTACTGATGACAAAGATAAAATAATTTCTGTCGAAATACCGGATGAGGCCACCGATCCATTTTACTATGCTGCCGTTAGAGATCATATAATGCATGGCCCCTGCGGAAGTGTTCGCCCGAAATCTCCGTGTATGGCGAACGATTGTTGCACAAAACATTTTCCAAAAAAGTTCTCCGAAACCACGACTCTTGACGAAGAAGGCTATCCACGATACAGACGTCGTGATAATGGCAGGACCATCGAAAAGAATGGCATTCCCCTAGATAACAGATACGTTGTGCCCCATAATAGAAAATTGCTTCTGAAGTACGGCGCGCACATAAATATGGAGTGGTGCAACCAGTCCAGGTCCATAAAATATTTGTTCAAGTACGTGAACAAGGGGAACGATCGCGTTACTACCACCTTCCATGCGTCCAATGAAGATGAGTCCTCTAGCAGGCCAGACGCGGTGAAGCTGTACTATGATTGTCGATACGTTTCATCTTGTGATGCTGCGTGGCGGTTGTTGGAGTATGAGAGTCAATACAAGCACCCATCAGTGGAGCACTTGAATTTTCACCTCGAGAACGAGCATCCGTGCTACTATCCCGATGAAGTTCCGATCGATGATGTGGTTAAGAAAAATAAAGATACCGGCAGCAAATTTTTAGCTTGGATGAAAGCTAACAAGAAGTATCCCGAAGCCAAGAAAGTGACGTACGTTGAGGCTCCCACCAAATTTACGTGGCACTAGGAAACCAACAGTTGGGAGCCTAAAAAAGGAAGTAATCGTATCGCGCGTTTGTACTTCGTCCCCCTGGTGCTGGTGACATATTTTACTTGCAGTGTCTTATCAATGTTTTTTGAGGTGCAACGTGCCATCGTGACTATATGAAGTTGGGCGGAGTACAACATGATTCATATCGTGACGCGTGTTTTTCTCTTGGTCTGGTGGAGGACGACAAAGAGTATATTGAAGGGATTATTGAGGCAAGCCAGTGGTCGAGTGCCAATTCGTTGAGAAACCTTTTTGCTACTTTGTTGTCTTCTGATACTCTCGGTCGACCGGAGTTCGTGTGGGAATCATGTTTGACTTACCTATCGGATGATATATTATACAATCGTCTTTTACAGCACCCAGGTTAGTCAATCAATTACTGTCATAATCTTATGTTTTTTTTTCTTTTCATGTTTTGTCTTTATATTTAAAAACTTTGTATACTGGTGTTACAGAATTGGTACTGAGCGATGATGAAGTAAAAAATCTGGCCTTGGCGGAAGTTGAAAAAAATTTTGCGCAAACATGGTACGAGCTTACGCGAATACAGTACAATGCCTTTTCTTAATCTCGATCGTAATGAGGCATCCACAAATAGACTGGTGATGAACGAGTTGAATTACGATAGACGTGCACTCGCTATTGAGAACCAGGAGTTGGTTGCCAATATGACTGATGAGCAGGGAATGTTTATGGCTCGATAATGGACTCTGTTTACCGTACCTACGGCCGCATGTTTTTCGTTTATGGTTACGGCGGCACTGGTAAAACGTATGTGTGGAGGGCGTTGTCTTCTGCTTTGATATCCAAAGGTGAAATTGTGTTGAACGTTGCATCGAGCGGTATCGCATCACTTTTGTTGCCCGGCGGACGAACTGCGCATTCACGATTCAAAATCCCACTAAATCCAGTGGAAGGCTCTACATGTCCAGCAGAGTCCTTTGGCCGAACTCATCATACGATGTCGGTTGATCATTTGGGATGAAGCTCCGATGATGAACAAATATTGCTTCCAGGCAGTTGACAACACCTTGCGTGCTTTAATGGAAGCAGTTGATCCATCGAGGAAAAATCTCTCATTTGGTGGCAAGTGTGTTGTGTTAGGTGGGGATTTCAGACAGATACTCCTCGTTGTCCCTAAAGACAGTCGAAGCGACATAGTTAACGCCACCATCAATTCATCCAAGTTGTGGCGCGATTGTATTGTTCTGAGACTGACTCGGAATATGAGGCTTCGAAGCCTTGGTGGGGGTGATGAGTACAATGAGTTGAGGCGCTTCTCTGAGTGGCTTGCAAACATCGGCGATGGTACAGTCGGTGGATCTAACGACAGTTGTGCCGATATCGACATCCCCAACGATATTCTTCTACACTCACAAGGGGATCCTATTGGTACTATTGTTGAGAGTACCTACCCGATGTTTAGGAATGCAGGTGACGATCTTAGCTACCTGAAGGACAGAGCCATACTAGCTCCCACACTTGATGTGGTTGAGTGCGTTAACGAGTACATGAGGTCGATGAACTCATCTGAGGGAAGGACTTATTTGAGTTCGGATACCGCGTGCAAGTCAGATGTTGGATATGATTCTCTTCAGGATCTTCACACTCCTGAATTTCTCAATGGGATCAAGTGCTCTGGACTTCCGAATCATAAACTGCACCTTAAGGTCGGCACTCCAGTGATGCTTCTCAGAAACATTGATCACTCCATGGGGTTGTGTAACGGTAATGTTCATCAAAATTCATTTGTCGTCTATATTTCTTTTTATCATTGTACAAATTTAAGTGATATGCTTTTGTTTCCGAGTTTTGATGTCAACAGGTACACGGTTGGTTATCACTAAGCTCAGCAGCCATGTCCTCGAATGCAAGATTTTAACTGGTGCCAGAGCTGGTGACAAAGTTCTTATTCCTAGGCTCTCAATTATACCATCTGATTTGAGGGTACCGTTTAAATTTCAACGCAGACAATTTCCGCTCATGGTTTCATATGCTATGACTATCAACAAGAGTCAAGGCCAGTCACTTTCACACATCGGCTTACTATTGAAAAACTTTGTATTCAGTCATGGACAATTGTATGTGGCACTATCTAGAGTCACGAATTGGAGGGGTCTGAAGGTAGTGATCTGTGGTGATGGAGATTTTGATGATAGAAAAACCACGAACGTTGTATATAAAGAAGTGTTTAATAATATTTAGATTTAGATTTTTGCTGTTGAACCCAAGTTATCAATAACCATGTTATTATTTTTACTATTGTTTTCATTTTTTATTTTTCCTTTATCATATAGCTTTCCGTGCAAATACACGGGTAAAAAATAGTTGAAATGATCATACCAAATTTCTGTAAATTTAATAATGTATCATTATTCAAAGAGAACGAGAGTAAAATAAATAATGAGATAAAACCACCCAGAATACGATAACATTATCAATGATTAATCAAATGACAATAAGGACGTTATTAAGACCCAAAACAAAATATATGTTGAAGTATTCAACAAAAAAAAAAAAAAAAAAAAAAAAAAAAAAAAAAAAAAAATCTAGAACATGTGACAACTTACTATTTATTAGTCATAATTTACAATTTACTAAAATAAAATATTTTGTACAAATTATTACTTGGAAATATTATCATTATTTAAGAATTATATTCAACATTCAATACATTTAACAATGTCATGTAATATCATTATACAATATACTTTTTCTTGTTTGATTAATAAAAAATAATAATCAAAAAATAAATAAATCATATAAATATATTTAAAAAAAAAAACATGATTTCAAATCATAAAAAAAATATATATATTAAAATCATGTATGGCACGCACGTGCACTGGTATCAATAAGCATGGCCACTTTTTGACATCTCCGAACACTTTTTGCAGTAGTTTCATACAACCCAAAACTCAAAACCTCTCCAAACATAACAAAACCACAACCGCAGAGTAGCAGCAATTCCTAGTTCCTACTACAGGCTGACACACTTGAACATTTGGAAAAATAAGATACAGAAAGAAATTTACAGGATACCAAGTTTGTACAAATCTCTCTGGAGGGGCAACAATCATCAACTTCCACTCAAGAATAACAAGTTGATATTCAGGTTAAGACAACAGAGCAGTAAGATGGGTCTAGTCATGCCGGCCAGTTTGAAAACAGGCTGTACGTTGGTTAAGATGTTTTACTAAGTAAACATAAAAAATTAAAAATAAAAAATAAAAATAAAAAATAAAAAATCAGTCACTAGTTCCTCCACCGAGCATGAATTCAAACAAACTCGTGGAACAAACACGTACAACCTTCATGGTTTACGACAATTTGCAGTCCCTTGAAGCATAACCAGATTTACCAGCTGTAAATTGTGTAGAGCTTGTACATTATGAATAGTTAATCAATCATGAAACGTCCTGAAGGGCGAGATTCAGTTCATGAGCGGACTTGGCAATAGTGCCTCCCCGTCTGCAAAACAAATTTAAAAATAGGAATTTTGGCTCACTTTGGAAGACATGAAGCAGAAATTTGTTGTGCACGAGCACGAAACACAAACCTAGAAAGAGTAGACAAGCAGCATTTTACTTTCTCGAGTTCCACATAGCATTGATTGCAACGTTCCAGCCTTGAGATGTACAAAAGCAACAAACATTGCTTGTCCAATTAGATCTTTATCACAAGACAAAAACAGTAATTGTACTTGATTGGAATAATTAAAGAAACTCAAACCTTTGTTCAGCTTCAATATCTACGCCTACAGATGATGGTGCTGATAAAGAAGAATAGATGACAGAACCAAACACTCTGACCACTTTCAGAAGCATATCCAATGCAATATCTTTATGCCTTCAGAAAATAGTTAATCAGATTATGTTTCACCAAGACTAGAAAGACAATTGCATGACCACACTCAAATTCCCACGGGAATAATGGTGTGAATTATTGAGTTTCTAATTCGAACAAAAGCCCTGTTGAGCAAGTTATGCCCATGTTATTACACAATGCATAAAAACTAATTCCCAAAAAAACAGTTATTAAATAGTTCTTTTTAAACATATGTATGCCCCAAACAAAGCTAATACCATCTCTAGCAAAATCATAGAGTGAATATATCAATTTCAGTGACAATTTCATTAGATATCAAATAGCTGCTTGGAAAAGGAAGGAATAAGAGGGCCGTATCATGATCCAAAGGCATGCATTACTTGGAATACGTAAGTAGTTTACAGTACAAGTAACAAGGTAATATTCTTTTATATATATTTAATCTCTCTTCAATATAATACCAAATACTAACCACTTCCTTCTCACTAGAAATAAATATTATCTTCCTTTTCTACTGCAAGTGGAATATTCTTCTCTCGTATTTTGTAATAATTCAGATTTTGCATGAAAGATCTACATGGTGAAACATATGAGATAACTCTACAGGAGGTCAATTTAGGCACATGAAAGATATGCAATTTAGTGGCTGTTGTCTCTATATTAGCCAAACAATTCCCCTCATTAAGCTTTGCTTGGACACCAACATTTGAGGTGAGTATCCTTCACATTACAACATCTATCCTCAAAGTACACATTTAATGAGAAGCGCCATTGTATAATAGGATATTTACTTACCTATCCATATCACTTTCAAGAAGTCCAGTCAAGAGTGGCAGAAGAGATGAACAAATATCTAATGTGACCACATCAGTTTTTTCTGCCAGAAGGGTAATTACATCAGCTAGCACCTGCCATAGGTGGAACAATAATAAGTACCTAATTAATAGCCTTTGTCATTTGAAATGTCAAATTGAGATGTCACATTTTATTGTGCACTACTATAAATAAAATGGGAAACACAGCCTTTCTATCCACAATCTAGGAATAGTAATATATTACTCACACTATGATCACCCATTTTGCCAATTGCACTGAGGGCTCCTTTAACATCGTGTCTTTGCCAGAAGCTAAGGACTACCTGAAAAAGGGAAATGAATAGAAATACAATAATAACAATAATTAGAAAACTCTATTATCTGTCTCATTTGATTAACTACTGTCACAGTACGAAAAACCATGTTTTATAGGCACAATGAGTCGATGATAAAGAATCTAAATAATGTGTAACTTGGAGTAATTTTGAAAAGTTAGAAGCAGTTCGAAGAAATAAAACACTTAAAGTGACTTCAGTAGCTAATCTTTCCAGGAAATAAAACACTTAAAGTGACTTCAGTAGCTAATCTCTGAAGTCATTCTTCCAACTATATTTAATGATCAGTCAAACCAGGATTAATCTTGAATTCTTCATTTTATACCAACTAGCCCTTCAGAAGATCATGTCAGGGATCTACAACGAGTTTCCTAAATCAGATGCTAATTTTGTAGTGGCTTCCAAAATCATATCCACATAAACAATTTGAACCATAGATCTAACTCCAGTCTTTCCCATCAGCATAAAAAGCATTGAATGCTAGTTTTATAAGAATAAGGCATGTCACTAGCTTCACGATCCAGTTCTGCTAGATATACAATTTTTAAGCAGCAGTTAAAGTAAATAAGTACCCAACGATAATGACAAGTGTTCTGAAAATTGAAAGAAAAATTTGGATTTGGACTATTATCAATATCAATTTTCGAAAAAACACCTATTCTTGCTTATGGGTGGTGATAAGTGATAAGTAGATGACAAGGAGATGAGAGCGGGTGCAGCCATATAGTTATTTTGCTACTTCATAAACACAGAATAAATCTAATGATGTGAATCTGCCAGTCCAAAGCTAATAATATGCCAGTACTTATTTCCATTCACCAATTTCCAAATATATTAGCATAAAGCATGAAAAGGTGTGAAAACCAAAACACACTATTGTAACCAATGAAGCTGGATTAGCTGCTTGGGAAATGCAGCACAACGACTACAACACGAGTTGATGAACAATAAATTAAAACCGTTAAATACCTGCAGTTTGCCTAATCGAGATTTCATCAAGCCAATAAACTCATCATGCATTTCCATCATGTCTGCAATCGTATCTTCATCACTAGCAGAGACTGACTCATGTTCTTCAGTTAAAGCATAGCTTCTCTGTAACATCAAAAACATGTAAGTAACATTGAGAATAAACCAACACAGCCAGATCAACTTGTATATTAAAAGAGCTAGATTTTAACAAGCCGGTGGTGCCTCTAAAATATCTACATACAAAAGTGAAAAATCATACGACTGTGCAAAATGAAATCTTCAAAATCATATCACATTTCAGTAGACAAAAAAAAAATAAGAAGCTATAAGTCTCGAAAAAAATCCCCGTAAAATCTATTTTAAAATGCCAAGAGAACAACCAAGTTGATGCACAGACAAATAAGATCCTAGTCATCAAAATGGAAGTTAAAACATAAAGCACCTTGTGGTCCTTGCTTAATCTCCATAAATGGTAGAAGTTGTGTCAAAATCCATTTTTTAGTTAAAAAATGATACATTTAACTGAAAGAAACAGATGATAGTAAAAGGTAAAATTCTAGTGGATTGTTTTACAGCAAAGAAGCGAACACCATGACACATGCAGATACAAATTTCAAACTCATTCTCAACATACAACCCAAAGCACGTCCCTGATAATTGTTGAGGAAAACAAGAAAGTAAGTTGATTATCCAATAAGAAATATGGAGTATACTTACAGCAGTAAATTTCCCAGAGACATTGCTTGAAGGAAGACCTGGACGGTAGGAAATTCTACCTCTCTGTTCCCAGTTCGAAACAACGGAATGTGTTCTACCTAAAATTGTCAACAAGACTGAGTTTAAGCTTATTATACAACAAAAAATAAAAACACCATTTCTGACCAAGTACAGCATCCACTAGACACTGACACAGTTGTTATACCTCCTTTTTGACCTTCTACATGAGATGTATCCATGTTCATATTGTTCCCTCGGAGTTCATCTGTGATCAAATTTAACTTGCTTAAGATTAAAAAGTTAAAAACAGAACATATTGTCACCTTGTTGTTAGACAGAAGATCACTAACTCAAGGCTTCAAATTGCAAGTGATATCATAAACTTGAACTGTATTGGGGTGGTAAGAAAGTGACACCATATGATAAAGAAACCAGCTAGACTTTCCACTACAGTTGCAGTATTCCATAATCATATTCTGTATATCTCAAACGAAACCTAGGTGGTTGGCCATGAGCAGTCTACTCTCAAAGAATATTGAGAGCGTTCGAGTTTTTATCTGATACTTTTGGTCTGTATTTAAAAATACATCGCGAGTACCTAAACAGCCATAACTGATATAGCTGCAGATTTGTTTATTCACTCGTTAACTAAGGGGCTCTTAACGTAACGACAGACCGTGGCCCGCCAGCACCAATCAGTCTCCAGCTCATGAGTTGTTAAGCAGTGGTGTGGATATCGTAAGATTAAAGAAGATGCTCAGACCACATCAGGAAAAGAGAAAATGGGAAGGATGGAAAAGTTATAGACAATATGGACGATTAGGGAAGGAAAATTCCAGTATTTGTGTGCAATTTGTGGTAAGTAGGTTATGTTTGGGTGAGAGGATGGCGTTGCAAACGATGTCGACAATTCAAGAAAGCACAACATTGTGAATCTCTAAGACAAAAGATATGACTAATTTTAAAAACTCTAAATCAACACAGTAGGAGATCATCCATTATTCAAGCATCAAACTTCACAAGAGCCACAGACTTCATTTATTTGTTACAATTTTAGCAGGAATAGCTCAACTGGATAACTTATAAACTTTTTTACTACAGGAATAAAAGGCCAACTAAGGCAGAAAAGTAACAGATTTGTAATCGATAAGATCCAAACAGATCCTGAAGTTAATGGATCAATTACCAAGTTCATGGTTGTCTCAAGTGCTCCAGGACAATCATTAATTCGTGTCTGTTAGGTGTAGGGCCTGTTGGAGTGGAGGTTCAGACTTCCAGTTAAAAATATATTTTTCATTAAGTTCAGCCTTCTTCACAAAAAAAAAAAAAAAAAAACATGCATTACAAATGCGAAGGATTAATGATTACAGCAGGATGAGAGACTCTGGTCTCCTGCGACCCCAAGCCTATTAAAAGACTACAGAATCCAGATGAATATAAGCCACCAGACTGGTGAAAGCACCAGTAGTATAGGGCATGGAGAGGGGAATAGAAATTCAATAAAAATATAAAAAGTGCAACTAAGATGAAGAAAGAAGATAAGAATAAAGTGAAAAGAGTAGAGAAATCATGGAGCTGAGGGAATTAAAGTATGATGTTGTCAAATTTAGATTCAGGTAATCATTCATCATGCATAGAGAAACTTAGTCTTTCATTTTCCTTCTCTTTTTTTCTATACCTTGAATAGCAGTACCATGTATATTCCATCATACGAATCAACATTAAGATATGTCAAAGACTCAAAGCATCGAAGTCAGTACATAGATAGGAAGGGGATCCTTTCGAGAACCCAGGAATGAGAAAAAATTTGGATCCACAAATGAGAAGAACAAAGTATAGATTCCACCACCATAAGAAAAGTCTCCTGCCCCAAGATCCTTGTACATCCCCAAGTTAGTAACGTATTTCTATCAGTAAAACACTCCACTCCTGCATACTTCTTTTAACCTCTGACTCGTCACTATGAAGGCGTACTACAATCCTAGCTAAAGGTCCGCGAGTGACAGAAGTGCAAATACGTAATCAATGAACATAAAACAAATAATCCTAAAATAAATAATATGATTTTGGGTATCTGCAGTAGAGCAAGTAGTGTCCCATGCGTGCTTGTAGGAGAGTATTTTCCGTGTTTCTTTTTATGGTGTCCTTTTTAATGATAGATTAGCCTCACCAAAAATAAAACAAAATAAATAATATGATTCAAAAGAACACATATTAGAGAAGGAATACATACAACTTTCATGCTGGAATCTGGCAGGAGCATCAACAGTAGCATTAGTGTCAACTTTTCTGGAAAGCATAGGCTTATCATCTCTGGTTTTTCTATCTAATGCAGCAACCACACTGAGCGAACTCTTAACTGAATTACCCAAACTTCTATCTGAGAAACTTAAATCCATAACCCTCGGGAGCTCATTATCGTACTGGGTAGAAGCACTTCTCTCTGAGTCATCTTTAGAGTTTACAAATTTGCGAAACTCAGATTTTCTAGACTGCGAAGGTAGAGCTACTGTATTTACTGGAACATCATCTTTTCTGGATTCAGCAGCCTGCTCTACCCTTGGATTATTTCTAGGCACAACCACAGGTGCTACATCAGATCTGTTGAATAAGGGTGCACTCACTGTTGACTGAGCCTTTGCAGTTTGTCGCCTTGGATTTGTTGAACCAACTGCTGATGAAGTGGTCTGATTTGCTTTTGAAACAGCACTAAGATTCGACCTTTGCGGAGTACTCGGAGTACTGACAGTAGCTTCAGTCAACACATGCAATCATCATTTAGTACAATTTCAAAGTCAGCTACAAGTAAAATGATACAGAAAAGGAAGACAACCAAATAACGGTAGTGGATATCAGATGAAGAAAACTAAAGTACAATTAAACAACAATATCAAAGAAGGGAACAAGACTAAGATGGCTTACATGCTACTGATTTAGAATCTTTATTAAGATCTGAATTCTGCTGGGCAGAAAGCCTCATGTGAGATCTAGTTTCCTTAACAGAATCAGAATCATGTGAAATGGAAAGCCTACCAAAATTGGACTTCACATTATCCTCAGTCAGCACTGTCGAACTACCAGAATTAGATTTTGCATCAAAATCACCATTTAACCGAGCAGTACTAGGCATTGCATATGGTTCAAGACGCTGGCAGCAGCAAAGAAAGCAGAACATGCATGAGTACAGATGACAAGCATGAAAAGGTTAAGTTTAATGAGTAGTAATATCAAGATGAGTGATCAATACCGATATGTCTACAACCCACACTCCAACACAACTTTGATTGTAAGAACATCCAAGAAGCTTCCCTTCATGAACATTCATGTCGGACAATTTAGACCACCCCACATCCACTGTATCATGACTTCTGATTGGTTCCCAAGATAAAACCTATAATAAAGAGAAAAGAGGAAAATAATATCAGAGAAGATTGGCAATGCTGTAATTTAAGATAACCACCTACTTAAAAATAGATCACTAACTTTCAAATTCTCATGCAAGCCACAAAGCAAGGTTCTTCCATCAGGGTTGAAAGTCATGGAGCGCACACCTGTGGACTGGATTTTGGACAATAAACCATAGATACTCATAATCTAAGAAGCTGAGGGTCGAAGAAAGAAGGAAACAATGAGGAAATCATAGACGGTGAAAAAAGAAAGAAATAAGACAAAAAGAATAATAAGTGGTTAATGACAAACCTCAGGTCCAGATGAACCAATGAGCTCAAAAGTTTCAAGATCCCAGAACTTAACAGTCCTGTCAGCTGAACCTGCCAAACCAGAATAGTAGGCAATTTTTAGGAAATGGGTAACAGCTCAGGGATCTTTTATCATTGCCCATAAAGAACAAAGATTACACCACGCTTATGCTACTTTGACCAAAAAGCACTCAAAATATCTTGGTGTGGGGTATTACAGACTGATATTCAGTAATATTCAGTAACATTTCTGTAATAAACAAAAATGATGCAATTATTAAGCATCAACCAACTTAGTAATGGTAAGTAAAATAAACTGAAAATTTATGCAATAGAAACAACCAATGCTCGGCAGGGTCACCAAGAAAAAGACAGCGGTACAATCAATTTCTTGATCTGAAATTCGGGCATGACGAATATGACTGCTAAGTGACAACAGAAAATTGTGGAAGAAAATGTAATACCACTAACTGTTGCATCCAGTGTTGAGCAAGAAATAACAAGCAAAGATATTATGGCAACAAGAAGCTAATTACAGCACAAATACTTAATCTTTTCTTTCTGTATGCAACAAGAACCTAATTACAGCACAAATACTTAATCTTTTCTTTCTGTATAACCCAGAGATTCTATTAGAACACTGAATATAACACATACAATATATGAATGAGAGCTCCCAAAAGACAAAATTAGACATCAAAACCACAACACAAAAAAAAATAAAATAAAATAAAAAAAAAATAAAACAATTGCGCATAGAGATTTTCCACCTGTTGCCAACAAGAACTCATGAGGATGGAAATCAATGCACTGAATTTGGCCTTCATGGCATTTGAAATCATGCAAAAGCTTGCCCGCGGTTAGATCCCATAACTGTATTTTCAGGAAACATAATTATTATAAGTATTGAATCAAATTTCTGCTTTTATTGTGCACATGCTTCACAATATCAGAAAAATTAAATATTGAGGCTTTAAACTTATTTCAAGTTAAAATTTAAAAAAGAACAATATAATGATAATATTATAATGATGATAAGGATGACTTCTACGTGATACAGATCAATACACATTTTCATGTACTAATATGAACAATTTAAATGGACAGCATGAAGAGGAGCAAAATATAAATTAGGCTATGAGCAAGAGAATAAAAGATAGTTGTATTATAGTTCTCTTAGTTTCTTTAAGATTCATAATAGGAATGAATCTCTATTAGCATCTAATACTCCTAAGTCCTATCTAAACTAATCACAACCACAAAAGGAAAGAGTGGAACTACAATTGAAAGATCAATTGTATTGAAAGTTGTAACCTTCACAGTGTTGTCCTCTCCACCAGATACAACCCACCGGCCATCAGGAGTAAACCTAATTGCATTAACACCTCGAGTATGGCCCTTGTAAGTATGTATGCACCCCTTCCTTCGTATATCCCATATTTTCAAATTCGTATCCAGAGATCCAGATGCAAAAAACTCGCCAAAAGGATGAAAGTCCAAAGATATGCAATTGGATCGGTGGCCAGTGAGGGTGCGGATGACTGTCAAGAACATGTCAGTATTTAATTACAACACAGAATGTTGTGAAGAATAAAATGTGGATTACAGAAAAAGCTTTTACTTTTAGCCTCCTCCAGATCCCAAAGCTTAATGGTACCACTTGCTGCTCCAGCAGCTACCAAAACCTCCGAAGAATCAAAGCTAACTGAATCAATTCCACTGGAGTGGCCCGATAAACTCTAATGCATTGAACCACGAACAGAGCAGCAAAGACAGAAAAAAAAAAAAAAAAAAAAAAAAAAAAAAAAAAAAAAAATCGAAGGATAAAATTCATCATTAGTTAAATCCATTTTATTAATAGAAATAAAGAAAATAAGACAGCAACAACTAAACTGTGAAATTGGTCGCTACACTACGGGGATATGGTTCTCATTACAAGAATTGAAACTTGCAAAGGCCCCCATGAGCAGGACCACCCCTAAAGTTAACAATATTAAAAGTATTAAACCGCTGACAGGGGAATGAAAATTGCAGAATTGACTCAGACAAGAACCACATTTGGGTTACAGGAAGCGCGCACCAACAATTACAAAGCTAATTCAGATACAGACACAGAAAGGGAAGTAGGATAAGAGAATTAAATAAATTTAAAGGACATTAATAACAAGAAGCCACTAAAAATGAAGGTCAAAAGGAAAAACTGAACTGACCAGTATAGCATTAGGCTTGCCAATAGCCCAAAGATTAACCTTGTGATCTTCTCCTCCAGTCACAAGAACTCTTGACGATTTCCTCCCAATCTTCAGGCAGTTCACACTTAAAGAATGAGCTACAAATTCCTCTATGGTTAGCATAACGTTAAGGCTTCCAATGATACTTCTCTTACTATCTACCTTCTAGTGTCATGCTCTCTCACTAGTATTTTAAGGTAATATTCACAGAAAAGGAAAAACACAGGCTGCCAAATGTTTTCCCAATGTTGATAATTTGAAAATAAATCTTGCTTTTGTCAGATGGTTATCAATGAGACTTGAGTATCATCAACAGCGCTTAAAACAGCATTCGTGATTCTTTGTACTTTGTAGTAACTGTAAGATGCTTATGCTAAATACTTCTAAAAGATAGTACTTCGCCGTAAGAATCCAGAATGATTCTGTTAAATACTTATATTTTTGTTCACTTTAACCCTGGACTTAATATTCTCAATAATCTTGACATCTCAGGACCCCACCCTCCCCAACCCATTTCAAGAACAAAAATAAAAATACTAACACAAATAAAAAGAAAAAACACACATATCAGATTTTGTATGTGATTCAAGTTTAGTAAAGCTGGTCTTGCAGATCCTCACATTCATACCAAACAAAATGGATGATGTCGTGGAATATATCCCCTCAAGTTAAGTACATTAGTCCCCTTGTGCACATTGAAATAAATTTTCACCAAGGACTCCTCTTTTTTCCATTTGCAACATTAAGAATATCACTTTCACCTAATGATAAGCATCAGACTTAAATGACAGATGAACAAATAAGACACTGCAAACAGTTGCAAAGCAGTAAAAGTCTCGGCCATACAATCCTTGCCGGCAAACAAAGATACACTTCGCAATCTAAATAATTTTCCACAATCCAAATAACAACTTGGCATGCTCAGGGAATAGGTTTGACAGCTGAACAAAGATAAAAAGTGAAAAAATGTAACTTCATTGGAATTCCAAGTCCAACTAATGCACAATATGAGCAACTACAGAATAATAAAATCTATAAAACCACAAAACTCTTCTTCCACTGGATCCAATCACACGCAGCACCACAGTTTTGTTCTCTACATCAACTTCCACATCTTAAATGGAGTATAGAAAGAGAAAGATGTTAAATAAAAGTATTAGGCTTCAGCAACAAAGGATACGTAGCTTATAAGCACGTTTTGTGGTCGTCGTCATTTCCGAACTCCAAATGTACCAAATTAAAATGACAAAAAGAAAACCTAGCACAACCTCCCCCTCAAAGGTGAAAAATGGAGAATGTGAAGCAGATCCCGGGTCACATTCCTTCAGAAGCCTTCAAACTCCTCTTGGTCCAGCCATGTTCGACGAAATTACTGATGCAATAAAGGAAATTATTTTCCCGGTCTGTGGGGAAAATCTAGAGCGATGAGAGTAAGTCAGCAGCAGGTTGAAGAAAACACACTTCCAGTTACATCTGTAGCAGGCTTACGGCAGATGGTACAATGTAACTTCACAGCAGAAAAAATCCAGCAGTTCGTGTGTGTGTGTGTGTGTGTGTGTGTCTGTGTGTGTGTGTGTGTGAGAGAGAGAGAGA